AATCTCTCTCATTCTAAATCCATTTTTTTCACTACAAATCAACTTTCCAGGGTAACTGACTTTTTGAGCGTGACATTGAAATGATAATCATACTGTACTCATTACATCCACATTGTTTTATTGTTCACAAACTTCATTTGGTTCAATGCAATAAGTAAGCTGGGCAGGTATTAATTACTTCCATTTCATGGAACAAGAAATTGAAGTTCAGAGAGGTGGTTACTTTCCCCAAGCCACACAGTGCTGAAGTGATGAAGGTGACTGATGATGTAGGCATCACGCCTCCTTTGGGGTTGGGGGGCACTACCTTTTGGGGACTCTGAGCCTTGAGCCACACCACCTGCCACTCTTATCCTAGCAGAGCACCCTAAGCTAGTGCTTTTCAAAGAATTTCCATAAAGAGAAAGACCAACTCATGCCTTCATTTCCCTTATCCCCTCAGAGCCAGAGGAATAATTGTAGATTCCAGGATCCCACCATAACTAAAATTCAGGACGCTGCATTTGTCCTCTGTTGCAAAACAAACAAAACACAAGAAAACTATTTTTTCAGAAGCTGCCTTGAAATCCTTGCCTGCAGAGTATCCATGCCTACCTCCCAAGCAGCTAGTCATTGTTAGGTTCTTCTTGTAACACTTTTATGGTAAGCTCCCTGAGGGCTGTCTCTACATCTTAAGCTCTTAGACCTCTCCCCCTCTCAGCAGACCTGTGCAGAGCCAGTGAATATTGATTGGGGGGCGGGAGTGGGAGGGTATTCTTTTGGAAAGAAGAAAGCAAGCCTTGTTACTGGAATTCCCAAGTATTTACAGTGAGATCCGACATAAGGTGTATAGTAACGCAGAGCATTATAAACACTTAAGAAAAGAACACAGAACTTGGGGAGCTGGGGGAGTGGAGAATAAATAATTGGTAAAATGTTATGTGCCTGGTTAAGGGGAGTCCAGAAAGCTTTCCAGAGACGGGATGGCAGAATCCGCTGACCGGTGACACCCCGCCCACCCTCGGAGCTGCTCATTCAACCCGATCACTTGGGGTGCTGTGTTAGTTGGGCTGGCGCTGCGCCCGCCGGGTTTGAATCCGTGACAGGCCCAGTCGGAATCTCGCCGACTATTGAACAGCACCGGCACATTCACTGGTGTGTGGGAGGCTGCGCTGAGGCTCTGTCCTGCAGTGCCTTTCCAGGGACCTGCAGTGACTCAGGGAAAATGGTGCTGCCTGGAAAATTTGCAATCAGCGTCAGTTACCTATTGTGCACTCTTAGTGTGCTCCCTGCAAACTTCTGACAACCTGGCTACTGCCCCCATTTGTCAGGGAGGATCCTGAGGCTCAAGGTGGTTCCTATCCCATCAAAGGGCTCTGAGAGGGTAAATGCTGTTGTTTTAGTCCAAAACCTGTACCTTCAACCCACACCGAATATTAGCTCTTACCTGGATCTGATAGATTTCAAAGCAGTTTCACAACGTGTGCCTCACAACATCCCTGTGACATAGATTTGCTGAATGTTATCACCTCCAGTTGAAATTGAAGCTCAGAGAGATGGAGGGACTTCGCTAAGGTCACCCAGCCAGAAAGGGCAGAGGAAGGCACAGAGCACAAGCTCTTGCATGCTGATCTCAGGAACCTATTGACAATGACAAATCACTGGTCAGGCCTCATGACCATGAGCAAGGTCACTTCCAGGAGGCGCCTTCCCACGGGGTTTCCGGCTGGGAAGTGTCAGCTCCCAGCAACCTTCCCTTTGCTGGTGATGAGATTTGTCTTTCTCAATGTCCTGATGGCTTTGGTTTGCAGTCAGGGTGGAGTCCACAAAGCCTGTATGAAATTAGCTCAGGACATCCCTTCCCCCTAACAGGCACAGTGTATGAGCAGGTGACCTCAGAGGCAGTAAGGATAGTGCACACAGGCCAGAAAGCCTGGCACAGTGGTGATCCAGAGATTCTTGTGGAATTAACAAATGAATTTGATCTGGAAAAATGCTCATTTGCAACAACTTTGGCCTATCATAACCTTGGTTTCTATAACCATCTGTTGCATTGGGTAACACCACACTGATAAAGAAATGGGAGTCGTGGAGCAGGCTACATAACGCAGGATGCTGCTGAAGAGCAAGATCTTGGCCTTTTTATTGATAGAAGAATTGCCCAGCATCAGTTGAGAGGAAGGAGGACAAAGAGAAAGGGAGGAGTGAAACTCGAAAATGTACTCAGTCATCTACAGTATTAGGGGTTGTGAGTGCCCTCCAGGCATCTCTCATCTGCTTGATGACTTGGTATTGTAATTGAGACCAAGCTCCAGTTCCCCAGCCATGGTTTCAATCTTATCAACAAGGCTTTCCACTGATCAGCTTCTGGGGTCCCTTGTTATACAGCGGGTCCTCGGCCCCCAGGGGCATTCCCGGTCATACCTCCTGATGTATAAGTCAGGAGTATGTTTTATGCATGGGTCATCAGCCCCAACACCACCATCCCCCTCTGCTTCCCGGTCATACCTCGTGATGCATAGCCTTCCCAGTGTGATCCAGCTTTGTGCTCTTGATTGATTTGAAAGGCGCCTTGCAGTGTTGGACTCCTGTACCTAACTGCCCAGCCATTCTGACCTTGCTTAGGATTTAGAATTGTAGGTTACAAAATGGTGGCTGAACAGGCTGCTTAGGATTAGCAGACGCACAACCAGCTCTGGTTCTAATGGTGTTTCACAGCATCTATTGCTAAGTCATAATCTCTTACCATATACTGTCCCTCTCTGATCATCTGGAAGCACTTGGTTGTTTAATTCTGGGCAGAGAGTTGAGGGGTGTTGCATCTGGCCTCCTCTCATTGTGTAAATATCATTAGGAGACATTCACATTCGACTCCTGTCTCCCTTTCCTTCCAACTCCCTCACAAGAATCAGCTTATCTTAAAATGGTTACGTGTGCCTAATGTCTTTGTCTTTTATTGTAATAATACAACTTAAAATTTACCTTGTAACCATTTCAAAGTGTACGATTCAGTGACTTCATGCAGTCTCCATGTTGTACAACTATCAGACTCTCTTATCTCAGAACATGTTTTATCAATCCAAAAGAAACCCCATAACCATGGAGCCATCACTCCCATTCCACTCTTGTCTCAGTCTGGCAACCACTGTTGGAGGACAAGAAGAGAAAAATTGGAAAGGAGGCCTCACAAGACTAAAACCTGACTCACACAATTTGCTGAGGGTTGAGGGGTATAACATGACCATTAACCCAGCTGTAGAGGTCGTGACCCTTAGGCACCTTATCACATGAGACCCAAGCAGGATCCGATGTTATAGAGAGTGGAGCTCAGACCTGAGGGGAAAGATATGGAGATTGGGCCCACCCTGAAATCTCTGATCCCTTTCTAGTTTTGCCTGTTACCCTTTCTAGTTTTGCCTGTTACCCAACATCAGCAAGAAGCAGGCCGCTCCAGGAAGGAGCGACCCCTCCCAAAGAGAAAAGGACTATATCAGTGCAGTCTCTGCACAGGCTTGGGGCAGCACTCCCATTGCTTACCTGTGACTATGCAGGAGCCTCTTCTTACCAACTCTCTCCTCTGCAAGGCAGCAGTTTCCCTGCCTGCCCGTGAGCTGTGCTATTCTGGGGCTTCTCTTCACTGACCTCCCTCAGCGGAGGCCGCTCTCCTCAAGGCCGCCCACCTGCAACCATGCAGGCCTCTCTTAGCAAAACCTGTCCCTTTCCCTTATAAACCTGCTCTTTAAATATGACTAACGTCTCTGTCTCATGGAGAAACCCGCCTGGGAAACTCGCCACATGCCACTGAAATGGGAGTTCTGGTGACACATTTCCCAGAGTGAACCCAGGACCCCACAACTCTATAAAACTCCATCACCACTAAACTGTTTTCTGTATCTGTGGATTTGCGTCTTCTAGAAATTTCATGTAGATGGAATTATACAACATGTGGTCTTTTGCATCTGGCTTCTCTTAGCATGTTTTAAAGCATATTCACCCATGTTATGGCATGTACCAACATTTCAATTCTTTTTTATAGCTGAATAGTATTCCATTGTTTGGATATACCACATATATGATTTAATTATTCAATGACTGGTGATTATTTCCACCTTTTTGGATATTATGAATAATGCTGCTAAAAACATTCGTGTACAGATTTTAATTTCAACACCTCTTGTCAGCTATTGGGGGGTATGTACCTATGAACACAATTACCAGGCCATATGATAATTCTATATTCAACCACCTTAAGAACTATGTCTATTGCTGGATGTGCAAAGATGAGTAAGATATGGTCCCTGTCTGAAGAAATTCATAGCCCAGTTATGGAGACAGGCACATATTAGGACAATAACAGGAGTGTGTAGCTGGTGAATTTGTTTCTTAAAGTCAAACCTATCAGTGACTTTTTCAAGGCAAGGACTCTGATGAGGACAGTGCTAAGGGAGATTGGAACTCCAGAGTCTCCCCAGATATTTACGGTTGATGGTTGTTAGAACAGAAGCTCAGAGAAATGACTGTGAAAACCAAGAATGGCTTTGGGGCTTGGAATAGACATAGAAACAAGGCACAGATGTAGAAACAGGGGGGTAGATAACACCATCAATTTATTGTTAATTTCCTAGTGTACTATGGAATAGTGATGGTCATAAACTGAGAGGAGACCAGAAGTTCCCAAGATGGCATTAGGTGGCTACATTCTGCCTCTGCTTAGGACAATAAAACTGTCAATTGTGTTGGCAAAGTTTTATTTCTTAAAAGAGATGACAGAAACATAGTTGTGGTTATGTTAATTTTTCCTTGCTGTTTTGCATGTTTTAGTAAACTTGTGTATCTTTTGATTTTAAAAATTGTTCAAGGCCTCACAGCTAGTCAATAGAAAATTTATTTATTTATTTATTTATACAAGTACTGGGTACAGTCAGAAGCGCAGGAGGGTGAGAGAATTCACCAGAGCCAGAGCGGGGAGCAGAGCAGGTAGAAGGACTGAAGTACACTGCTGAGGGGAGCAGCGGGCGGCAGGAGAGGTCTGCGCGCCATGTGGGACCCTCCTCCGGTGGCCAGGGAGCAGCCGGGGATTGAACCGGCGCTGCAGAGGCTGCGGGCAGCTTTGCAACCCAGCACTCAACCGCTGCGCCACCGGGGAGGCCCTCGAGCCCATGTTTATTTGCTTCCCAGTATATCATGCTGTCCACTGGAGCACATAGACAAGGGAAGGTGTGTATGGAGAAGAAATGCTACTCGTTCTGTTTTCTTTGTGCAGACCTTTGAGAGGCAATTGCTTGGTGACTTTATATACTAGAGGCAATCTTGAAAAACATGCTATTAAATATTTATAACTTGAATCATGTTTTGCCACTGCCTTACATTGTTATGATTTAGAACTGTTTCTACAAAAATATTCCTGACAAATAACTTCATTGACGTGGAATCCTATAGCTATTTCATCCTCCCAAATAGATTCCGCAGCTAGATAATGAATTCATATTCTTCATTTAAAGTGCCCTTTACACTAAATGCGCCGCAAAATTTGTTCCTATTTTCTTGAGTGTTCTCACTAAATTCATCTGTATCTGTTTAGGAACATAGCAGGAACCCCTTCATTTCTTCCTTTATTCAAAAATTAATAAATAACCACTGAATGCTCATCAATTTTGAGGCACTCTGGGAGAGGCTGGGAAATGGTGAAGCAGATTTCCTAGTCCCCGCTGAGCTTTCAGTTTTCTGGAGGAGACAGACTTGCAAGGCTGGTAGTTCCAGCACTTGGAGAGATGGTGCCATGAGGCTGTATTGATGGGGTATGTTGACAGGCCCCAATGGGGGACAAGTATGAGGAATCTACCCCAGTCACTTTGGTTGGGGAGGCCTCTGAGAGGAGGTGATATTTAAGGTGATACTAAAGGATAAATAGGAATTAGTATCTAGATCAGAAAGCAACATAATTGTTTCTTTTCAGAGGGTTCAGTTGTCTTATGGTGGAGTTTTTATTGTCAAGCAAAGTAGAAGAGCAAGGGAATACAGAATTTTAAGGTGACTCCTATCTGAGAAAAAAATACCTGTGGTACTTTAGATGTTGTTCTTGCTGTGTGTTCAAAACAAATGACAGTTGTGTAAACTGGAGTCCCACAACCCTTTGTCAAATATGCTGACACCCCCTTGATCTGAGTAAGTTAGGGTGGCTGTACCAGCAATGAAAGTATAACTACCTGATTTCCTCCCTGCTTTGAAAATCTCTCTTGACCTGTTTATCTAAGAGAAGTGACCTGAGCAGCCTGTGTACCGGGGAAGGAAGGGTCGGCACAGGGCCCAGGGAGAGCAAGGGAGGGAAGACATCACTGTGCAGGCAGACACCCTCCATTTTGCAACAAAAAACTCCCCTACACTAAAATTTAGGAATAAGTAGAATTAATCTTTACCTTTGTTCTCCCCTCCCATCCCCCCATCATGATTAACTGGCTCCACATACATTCCTGAGAACTTGGAAAACTGTGTTGTATCCTAATAAAATTCTCTGTGTGCCCCTGAGGTTGATAGTGGCACGGCCAGCAAACATCTGCTGATGGCTAAGGAAACACCCTGCTGGGGAAGTCAGACACCTGGACTCAGGCCACCTAGTCTGCCCGGCACCTCCTGGGACCTGGAAATGTGAAGCCCTGACTCCCCTGATGATGGCCATGCTGAACAAAACTCCTCCATGTAAAGACTTCTCCTGATTCAGAGTTTGGCTTTCTGCATGCAAAGGTAAGACCTGGTTTGGTCATTTATACAACTGCAGCATCATTCACTGGTGCTGATTCTATCTCATCCTCCCAGTCCTGCCCACATCAGGGTGAATGGGTAGTTTGTGGTGGAGTTATTCTAAGGTTGAACACCGATTTGACTGCATGAGGTTTGCCGAGGGACCTGATTTCCAGGAGTTGCTGAAGCTGATGTCACCCAGGAAGTGATGCATTAGAATCGAAACCAACTTCCCAGCATCCCCATCTTGCTAGTTACAAGACACACAGAACTCAGAGGACAGGCTATAGAATGATGATCTAAATGTCTATTAATTACAATGAAGATCTAAATGTTTATGAATTATGATAGACTGTACAATCACAATGTTCTACTTTTAAACAAATGTAGCCATTACAAAAACTTCAAGCCAGAAAGTGATTTTTTAAAATACAAAGAAATCTAGTACAAGCAAAGATGACATTTCAGGGTATCATCAATGAGTTTTCACAGAGATTTTCCATTACAATAATACTCATTTATATCTTCAGTCCCACACAGCAACAAAGTCACAGTGAGAAAAGACAGCAATTGCTTCTGACAGAAAATCAAAGAGGCCTCGAGCGATTATTTTTTCAAAAGGATCTTGGGAAGTTGAAATAAGGTCTGTTTCTCCACGGGTTGACAATGTTTAACTGTGATGGGAACAGCAGCTTCTTTTCCTCTGATTTTACCTTTGAACAGAATAAAAGGAACTCAGTGTAACATTCCCCCCATCACAAAGAGTTGCAGAACTCAAATCTAACCCTCAAGAAATCCTACAATCAAAGTAAATATCAATCTCGCTCCTATAAATGCTGTTAATAGCACAATTTAGCATTCAATAGAATTTCTTCTACTTGCTAATCTGTCTCTGAATTTTTAACAGTCTTCCTGGACTGGAAGAATAATTTCAGTAGTAGGAAATGACAAAAAAAATTGCTGAAACTTTGGCTCCATAGCATTGTTAAAGATGCGCAGCATTCAATAATGAAAACAGCAGAACCCACAGCGGAGAACACAGCGCTCATTATTCGAGTCACAGGGTTTATGCAGGGAAGGCCAGGTCCCCATAGTGTGACAGTGTACAATGCCTTATGGGGTCTGTATTAAACTAGTCCTTTGACAAATAGTGTCCCTAATTAACACAAGCATCTATCTCATCCAGCCTGTCAACCTGTTATGGAAGTCTTTTGCTGATTGCTATGTGTAGAAATAGCTGGAAACATGTCATAGATTTTTAAAAATTTGGATCCTAAGTAAAAATGCAAAGCTGGCAAAACCACATAGATGTCATGAGGTTAGTGGAAGTGATATTAGAGAGATGCTCAGATTATAATAAAGTCACTGCAGGTGGGTATCCTGCAGAGCAGGACCAGAAAACAAGCAGAAGAGAAAGAAAATAGACAAGAATGCTGATAATAGGTGCTTCACGAAAGGCAAAACAGAATGTAAAAAGATTAGAGAAATCTGATAAAGCACTCCAGTATTTTTTTTCAAAAGTGACCCTATCTATAATATTATTCCAAAAGTGAAGTGTGAAGTAAAGTACACAAATACTGTCAAATAGTTATCCTGAAAAATCCCCCAAAGCAACATTTGATTCATTCTTCATTCATTCTGAATTCTAGAACACAGTTGCTTTTATAATATGAAGACTTGGTTTTTTCTTTTCTTTTTTTTTTTTTTTCAGATAAAGCCCTCATTAGTTTATAAACTTTAACCATAAAATAGTGTTTCATGGTTTAAGTACTGCCAATTGTCCTCAAGAGCAGGTCCCTCTGTGCCACAGCTCATGTTCTGCCACCCATGTTTGGTCCTGAAAGGCTCTGTTGCATGTTTCCTTACATCTCAGAGACAAAACCTCTAGCTAGTCTGAAGCCTTCCAACTGGGAGGCTCATCTAAATGTTGTCAAGAGGGTTTTTATCCTTCTCCCCTGGGCCAAGATGTGCCTGATGTCTTAGGCCATTTCGACATCTTTGACCTTTACTCTTTAACTGTTCATGGGAGAGAGATGCTAATTTCCTGTTTTCAGGAATACTTTCTTTGCCATGTCCCTTACCAACAGCACTCAGCTCAGGGGCAAACTTGTTTCCTGGCCCCCTGCTGTAGAGTCCTCTTTTGTTCCTCTTGGTTTCAATATGGCGACTTCTCCCTTATAAGGTTCACGCTTCACGGGAGTAGGTGTGCAAACCTGAAACAGATCATTTTATGTCATTCCTGTGGTTTATTGACTTCCTGAGTTCAAAACTAAATGAAGCGCCCTTCATGAATTGGGAGAGCAAGAAAAATCTCATGAATTTCTCCCCTTGCTCTATCAGATAAATTCCTTGCAACCTCAGGAACCTGGGTTGTCTCAGCACAGCTAACGTTACCCCTCTTCAGACAAAATTCCAGGGAGTATTCTTTCCACCGCAACTTTCGCTGGGGCCTCGTCCATCCCCTCACACCCTATGAGTGATATAAATGTCTTATAGTCCTTTCAAACAGTCTACCCTTTCCTCCAGCTTCAGTTCTAGATGGCTCTATTTCTGTAGTGCTCGGCTGAACTCACCTTGCATTTAGCTTCAGATTCTAGCAATGTGTGTGACATTTTCTCTTTTACCCAGTGGCTTTTGTGTATCACTGGCCTTCCACAGACTCACATCTCTAACTGCACCTCTTGGCAACCCAGGGGCCGAAGAAGAACCCTCTCTGGATTCAGCAAGTGCTTGAGCAGAGCTTTAAAATCTGGACTTTATAAACAAAGGAATTCACAAGAAGCAATGAAGTCATACTTTTGTAAACAGAAATACAAATTTACTGACAAGACAAGCAGCAGCAAACTACAGTGATTATGATTGTGAACTCTCACACCAGATCGACTATGTTACTTAACTCTGGCCTCAGCAACCTTATTGTAGACTGGGGTGAGTAACAGCGCTTACTTATAGTGTGGTTGTGGGGATTAAAGGTAAGTAAAGCAGTTAGGATAATGCCTGAATAAGCTCTTTACAAGCAAATTAACATGTGTGTGTGCATGCATGTGTGTGTATAATACAAAGACAAATATAATAGACTGTGGGTCTTATTCCGACCACCCATACAAAAATATTGCTGTGATCAACAAAGTGGGTTTCATAAAAGAACAGACCAAACTAAACCAAAACAAACCCTAGAAACCTGACTGCAGGATTGAGGCTACCGGAAGAGGGATAGTGGGGGGCGGAAATAAAGGAGGGGAACCCAATGAACTATGGTGGAGGATTATGGGTGCTTTGGTGGTGGGTGTGCACAAATCTGGAGTTGTGAACCCGTCTCGTTGAATCAGTCACAATGTTGTAAACTGTTGTTACCTCAATCAAGAATGATCTTGCAAATGTGGATTTTGGGTTAAGGCAGATCTAAGTTTGAGTTTTAGCTTTGCCATTTAGTAAGTGTAAGAAACTGACAAGTTTCTCCCTGGTGGCGCAGCGGGTTGAGCACCGCGCTGTGAAGCTGTTTGCAGCCTCTACAGCGCGGGTTGATTCCCAGCTGGCCAGGGAGATTCCTACATGGCGCGCAGACCTCTCCTGTCTCTCCCGCTGCTCCCCTCAGCAGTGTATTTTGGTCTATCTGCCTGTTAAGCTCCCTGCTCTGTCTCTGGCGAATCCTGTCACCCTCCCGTGCTTCTGACTGTACCCCAGTTCTTATATAAATTTAAAAAAAAGACTATATTAAAAAAAGAAACTGGCAAGTTAACCAACCCCCCTCTGAGCCCACTCACTCATCTGCAAAATGGAGGACACGAAATCCATTTCCCAAATGCGTGAGCTTTCCCAGATACAAAGCATTTCCTTCACTCATTCTATGGATCTATATTGAGCACACATAGTCCCAGATATTTTGCCAGGAACATAAGCTAAAGTGGAGAACAAGACAGAGACTGTCCCTATAGTCCTGGAACTTGACTTTTGAGCTTGAACTTGGGAAGGCCCCTGCCCTCTGCTCACCAGTGCAAGCCTCTGTCTACTTTCTTTGTCTGGTTAAATGCTTCACTAAGCCGCCACCTCGGCTCACTGCTGACTCAGCTCTTCTCTCCACCCTGGGTCCTGCCATCATCCGGAGGAAAAACACCAGGAAATGAAGTGCCTGCACCCTGATTTCTGCCACCAAGTCCCTTGACATTGTGGTTACCTGGAGCAAATCCATACCCGAAACTAAACTCAGGTACTAGCCCACACTGACCACACCCTCCCTTTCAGGTCGTGGGCCTGTTTTTTCCTCTCCTGGTTTACTTGCCAAGTCAGATGGTTATGCTCTATCACTTAACCCTGGGTGACCATATAATTTATCATGCAAACTGGAACCCGCCTGAGAGTGTAAAGGGTGCTAAACAATTCACAGGCATAATCCAGGACTATCTAAGCAAACCAGGATTAATTTCCACCTTCCTTCAACTCCTTCCTTGTCTATAATCTTAGAGGTCTTACCTCGCTTTTCCTTTTAGCCTTTGCAGTCAGAAAACCCATGGCATATTTCAGTTCACTCAGCCTTTTCTATAGCAAAAGCCCCTGGAGAAAGTGGCATCGGTGGGCAGATCTTTGTATCCCCTGCCTTCCTGCTGTGTGTCCCTCGTGAGCGCCTATCTTTTTCTTTCTTACCTTCTTACCCCGAGGTTTCCTTTGAAACTTGCATGCTGTGGTTTTCAGTTGCTACTTTTCTGTTTCTCCTTGAATGCTTTTTGGAAACTGATGGCTAACACCAATGATTTAGGGTGGGTTGTTAAGCCTGGAGCCCCATCCTCCCCATTTTGGGGGCTTGCTCTGCGGGCTGGCTGGCTCTTGGAGAACCCCCAGACCCAGCTGCAGGCTAAGAGCAGCTCAGGACTCAAGCCAGACGAATCAGCGTCCTTCTTAGTATTTTTCTGCCAGGGCCAGCCTCTATCCATGTTTGTCTTTTTTGCCTAAATAGATCTAACCTATGTTTTATAACTCTACCCAGGCAGTCAGCAGTCCAGGAAGCATTAGCCTGCCTGCCACATCCACCACCTCTTACCACTGCCTTCCGTAGTTATTTGTCTACTTGTCTCTCTCCCCTCCAGTAGACTTGGAGCTGTTTCTCCATAAACATTCAGAAAACACTTGCTAAATTCCTACCAAGAATGGAAGGGTGTGAAGGAAAGGTCATCCCCCTCTGAGCATTAACTCCTGTTTGCGGTGACCTGGTCTAGGCTGCCTCAGTTTCCCTCAAATTATTTCTTTACTCTCCTTCACCATTTATCTCTTCCCCAGGCTCTTTGGCCTAATCTTTGGCCTGGCTGGTCACACTGATCATCAAGTGTCTCTGTCATGCCCAGCTGGCCTCATCTGCACAGTCTTACTCTTCGTCAACCTCTCAGCTCCGGATATCCGGGTGAGGACAGACCAGACTGGTCACAGGACACTAACCACATCGGCCCACAAGCCATGCCTCCGTCAGGTTCTTCAGCTGTTCCACACCCCACAGTGTTCCCTTTTGATAGATGAATTAAGAAGAACCAAAGGAAATTTAAATTTTGGTCTCAAGCCTCCCAGCACTTTCAACATTTTAGCAGTTTCTTTTCCTCTGCGGTGGCCTCCATAAACCCTTTAAGGCCAGACTCTAGTCTCTTTGTCGATGTACTGTCCATTGTTCCTGGGCATTGTATTCCATGTATATTTTGGAACCTCACTGGATGTTTACCGTGACAAAATGGAAAGGCAATGGCACTCATTCTGCACGATTTAAGCCATTACTGCCGTCATGTAGAACGTAAATGTAGTTGCACATTTGTGTTCTAAGTAGACTACAATTTAGAAAAATGAGTCTTGTTCGCTCTCCAGTGACAATGGCAGAGCCCGATCTGCAGCGTGAAGTGCCTGGCGTTGACATGGGTGTCAGCACCCAGAGGCGCTGGTGCTTCATGTCTGCAGGTTATCACAGCAGCTGGATCCCACATGAAGTGGGGTTCTTCCCTTGGTACCTCAGATGCATACAGTGATAACAAGGACCGCATCCCAAGTCTTGCATGTCTAATTCTAATTAGAAGACGTTTATGCAGTATAAGACACACAGAAAGACAAGGATGAGGAAGGGATCAGAGAGCTCTGGGCTGCACAGAGTAGGCTGGCTGCCTCCCCTCCCTTCCTCTCCCCTCCCCTCCCCTCCTCCGGTCTTCATCCCACCTCGCCAGTCAGCTTTCTTAGGCTCCTTTGTTGGTTTCTCTTCTTCTCCCCTCTAGCTTTGAAGGCTGGCAACCCAGAGCTCTCTCTAGTCCCTTTCTCTCTTTCTACACGGTCCCCTTGGTGGCTGCAGACTCACGGTTTTAAACCTACATGCCCATGCCATGATCCCCCCAATTTTATGTTCAAACCTAATCTCTCTGCATCTCCAGACTCCTTTATCTAAGAGGCTAACTGGCCTCGTCACAAGGAGGATCACTAAACATCCCAAACAGAGCTAGAACATGAGCACCACAAATTATAGCTAAAACAGAAGTTGAATTTAAGCTCTTTGAAAGCAGGAACTGCTGTATCCTCAGCTCTTAGACTATTGTTTGATACTCAAACATTTGTGAAATGCAGGAAGATATCCTGACTGCAGGATGTCTCAGAATTTTTCTATGGTATTGGGCCACAGAAACACCTGAGGGTGGCATAATCTAAAATTATTTGGCAGTTTATTCAAGGAGTACCTCAAGGGCCTAGTGTCCAGAGAGCACACTTTTAGAAGATTAATCTGGTTTGGCATCTTTCCCCCGCCCCACCACGACCAACTGGTCCAAATTATATGATCACACCTCCCAGCTGTTCTTTCCATCTTGATGGAACCACAATAAACTGGAATGAAAAATTATGTCAGAGGTACTCCTAACAATACAAGAAATGCGATGCAGCTGGCCCTTGCCTCACAGGGTGAGGAGGCTGGTGGTTTACTTTGTTAGATGGAGTTGATTTGAGTTCACAGTATTTAATGACAATTGTCATTGTAATGAGTTAATGGAAAGAAAAAAATGAGAATTACAACACAATATACATAAATATTCATTGCAATCTTCATTACACCTGTGTAATTGCAGAAATGCTTTTTGGTTAGCTGGTGGGAGAAGAAGTCATAGGTTGATAGAAAATTTAAATTATTATCAGCAGGAGTGAGGTGCTGGGGTGCCTGATTTTCTGAGACTAACAAGTCCACTGTAGAAGTATACTCACTACTGACATTGAACTGAGTTTCCAGGGACTGTGAATTACTAGAACACAAATAACAGAGGTGATCTGTAACAGTGAAAATTTGTAGTTGGATAATGTTTTACCACCCATCAAATCTTTCTATTTAACCCTATTTCTCAAAAACAATGTGAACAAGTTGGGTCCTCTCACTTCAGGGCTGGCTCCTCTGGGGAGTCTGCCAGTCTGCAGGTAACTGAACCCTGTGTGCAGAAGAGGAGACAGGAGGAGGGCTGTGTCAGGGGCTGTGTGTTTGGATGGGGATTGAACTTTGTGATTAGAATATTGAAGTGGCAGAGGTTAGAAAGAAGTGGTTTTGGAGACAGAAAAATCTGGATTTGAGTTCTGTTGCTGCCACTTACTAACTGTGATCTTGCTAAGTCTCAATTTTTTAATAGGGTTATATTTTATAATAGGGTTACCACTACTTACCTTAGAGATTTGTGGTGAGGATTGAAATATTCCTAGTATATAATTGGTCATCAATAAACACTTACGGAATGAGAGTTAAATGGTTGGATAAAACACAAAGAGACAGTCTTTAGAAAGGCTTTTTAGAGTGGAGTGCTGGCAAATGTGAACACCTAGCTCTGCCTTTCTTTATCTCACTCCTTCAAAAGTCCAGGTTTATAGCTCTTACCTATTTCCCTGGTGTAAATATCCATGCCACAGTTGATTTCAAGCTACCAAAATGGCATTGCTGAATGAAGAATTGGAAAGGGATCTATGTAAGTGGAGCCACAAGCCACAATGAGCTGGCTATTACTTATGTACCATTTTTTAGTGATTATTAGAAATCAATTTGAGAAAATGGAGATATCAGAGCTGATCACATTTTAAATGATTTTCTCTGGGCTGTCACATTTAGAAAAAACATTGCCAAAGTTTTATTTCAGAAATGGAGAAACCCATTTCAATGACTAGATCTGTCATCCACTCAGTTTTCTCTTATCTAAAGGCAAATTATGCTATGCTTGCACAATACAACCCAGACATAAACCTTGCCAGTATTCTGAAATCATGCATTGCTTTGTGAAGAGATTTCTGTCTCTCTATAAAATGCAACATGACCCTTATTTTCCAGAATAAATTGGGTTGTTTATTATGAAAAGAAGATAAAATGAGATGAGTTAGAAATAACCCATACTTACAAATTCTGATGAAAATTGCAAGGCTGAATTCACAAAAATTCTGGAAATAATATTCCACTTGAGTTTAAAGAGCTATATTTTTTGGTAAAGAATTAACAGCATAGAAGATGATTTTTTTTTTTTTCAAGATGCTCATGAACCGCTAAGCTATTGTGACTTTTTTCTTCCTCCTTTATTTCTTTTTCTTTTATCACCCAAAACTCTTAACCTTAAGTGACTATTTATATAAAATTGAAATATATATCTTATTGTATTTATCAAATAAAGTTTGATGATTTAATTTTTTTCCTTTAAGAGTTAGCTGTTTAAATGTTAAAATAAATTAACACCCCAATGCTGTCACATTAGATTAAAATTCCATACAATATCTGATAATAGTGATAGCTGATGGCATGATGCTGATAAAATTTATTAAGTAATCAAATCATGACTATGAATTAAGCTCACTAATAGTAACCCTACTATTTGGGATGAGGCAGTGGGCAGTCTTCTGGGTAAATTCCTTTATATTTCATTCTATGACCACTGAAATTACAGTCTTTACTCCTTTCATTTGCAGTTTATTTATCAAGTGCCTACTGTGCACCAAGTACTGGGCATAAGAAGATAAGACACTGTCCTTAAGGAACTAACAATCTATCTAGGAGATCGTTCAAGTTCCAAAGCTGGCAAACACTGATGTGCCTTTGGAGTGCAGAATAGTAAGAGATTAATTTTCTCAAGAAGGATAACAGGTGAGCAGAGAAATGGGTTGGCTTACTCCTGCTGCCTTCAAACTGTTATCCTCACTCCTGAGGAAGTCGGAATGTTTTAAATGAAAACCAAAGCAAGAGCTCTAATAACTTCATGTGAATTTACCAACTAGGAATCCTAACAACTCTTCCTCTTAACCTCAGTGTGATATTTTTCTTCTATAAAATTGTCTGCTGAATGGAGAGAAAAAATGCCTGAAATGCGTCTAGATGATTCTCAAACCTCATTTATCCATTTTATGGTGACTTTTTCCATATCAGCATTTTTTAAGGTAATGCATTTCCACAAGATTTGAGTTTCACAATTGCTTTCTTCTTTTTTTGGTCTAGAGGGACCCCACAGTACAGCGAGAATCAGAAAGGTCTTATCACAAATCCTGACCTTATATTTACTTACTGCTTAGTGCAGGGAAAGGGACTTAATCTTGCTGAGATTCAGCTTTCTAGTCTGTTAAATGGGAATGGTAATAACTCCCATATGGCTTATTGTGCTGATTAATTAAAATAATGACTATGAACCAACTAATACGATGGTTGGCAGTTAATAACAGCTTAGAAAACCATGTTAATCATGATAACTATTAGTTGTTGTTACTGAAAAAACAATAATGCACTGTCTGAAATTTCTCCTATCAAGCCTGACATCCAGAAACGTGTTAGACTGAGTGTTTGTGACAACACCAACACCACCCCGGGGCAGCTGACAATCCAGCTCATGGGACCAGCCACTCCCACACAACTTACCTGGTCCCGCTGCTTGATCCGCTTGTAAATATATTCAGCAAATGGCTTTCGAGGAATAAACTTCCCATCTCCAGGTGTGACACTGAAAATTCCAGCTTCATACACCACTTTGCCTCTGGAAATAGTCACAAGGGGCACTCCATGGCACACCATGCCTTCGAAGATGTTAAAGTTAACAGCCTGATGATGAGTTGTGGCTGAAATTGTCCTGTTTGGAGAAACAAGGAAGCTCCAGGTTGTCACCAGTTCATTTGACAAATATAAAATATTAAAATGAGGGCCCTCCTGGTGGCACAAGGGGTTAAGCACAGCACTATGAAGCTGTCTGCTGCCACTGCAGAATGAGTTCGATTCCTGGCCAGGGAGCTACCCACATTGCACAGCAGGCCACTCCTGTCTTGCCCGCTGCTCCCGTTAGCAGTGTATTTCAGTCAGTCTGCCTGTTCTGTTCCCCACTCTGTCTCTGGTGAATCCTCTCACTCTCCACACCTCTGGCCGGTACCCCAGTTTTTGTATGCATAAATAAGTAAATCTTCTTTAAAAATATTAAAATGAGTCAGAGGACAATTTAGCAACTCTTAATGCATAACTTCATCATTGGAACGTGTGACTTTAAGAACAGAACATAGCATTAATGTTTATTATAAAATAATTACATTTAATAATTACATTTTTGAGGAAAAATACAGTAGATTGCTCTTTATGGTGATGGATGAGGATGGAGTGGGGGGATATGGACATTGTCTGACATCTGGGTTTTTCAAGTACTTTTTATGCATGTGTTTAAAGAATGAAATGTTGAAACATTTCAAGCACAGGTGAATCTGGTGGATACTGACCTCATACCCAGTTTTACAGAATCTTCACTTTTCACAGAAGCAGATATGGTGACCTCAATACCCCTCCCAATTCCATCATACTATTTCTCCCTTTTCAAAACTAATTGACAGTTATTAAATTGAATTTGGTAGTTACCAAGGAAAATTAAATCTTGATTTTTTTGGCTTGTCTGTGGCAAATTGGAAATTTGAAGATAATAAAATCCACAAAAATGCTAGATTAAAATATCTTAGCCTATGACCATGTGCTTGCATATTAATCACTTATTCGTGCTTTTTTATCTTACCAATATGACTGATGGTTTTCAGGCTGGATATTTGAAAATGCTGGGTGTTTCCTTTCCCTTAATCACATTAAATGGAAAAGGGGGTGAGGGGAGAATCTGGCTGCAGTAAATAATATGAGCATAATCTGAGTTCTGCTAGAAGTTTCCACAAACTCTCCCAGGAGTAGATTAAGGAAAAGCACATTGATTATGATTTTAAAAGAAAATAACATGGGCCTCCCTGGTGGCGCAAGGTATTAAGCACAGCACTATGAAGCAATCCGCAACCTCTGCAGCACGAGTTCGATCCCTGGCCAGCCAGGGAGCAACCCACATGGTGCAGCAGACCTCTCCTGTCTCGCCCATTGCTCCCCTCAGCAGTGTATTGCATATTTCAGTAGATCTGCCTGTTCTGCTCCCCACTTTGTCACTGGTGAATACTCCCACCTCCTGCATCTCTGGCCTGTACCCCAGTTCTTATATGCATAAATAAATCTTAATAAAAGAAAAGAACATGCTGGGTCCAAGGAAGAGCAGTCAAACCCCCCTTCCCCACCCAACGCTAATCTAGAAAGGCAGACTGGGGAGGTTCACAACAAGTGTGTGCTGCAACCTGAGAAATGAAGGAGACCATGCTGACCTGGTCCTGGATTCCAGAATCCCACACCCAACTACCTACTTGGTAGCCATCCAATCAGGATTCTTGATTTGCAGTGTCCACCACAACCTCCCCACACAAGTTTGTCCTTTCCTTAAGATTCTTGTCTCTGTAATGACACCACCATCTACCTTCCCTCACCCCTCAAATCATCATCAAGCTTACTGATTCTACCTCCACACAAATTAATTCCATATCTGCCCACTTCTCTCCCTTTTCACTGTGCCCACCCAAATCCATACCACTGTCATCTCTCATCTAGATGATCTAAAACTCCAACTGGCCTCTCTTTTTACTCTCAATCTCCTCTCCTACACTCCTGACCATTCTCACAGACCTGCTCAAGATTTAAAAGTGAAAGTTGGATCACATACTTTCTTGCCTGCAGCTCTCAATGACTCCAAGAGCCAAATAAACAGCTGTAAAACAGCCCAGATGATATGATAAAGAGGATGATAATATTAATAATGATAATAATAAAGAATTTGTTCCCAATTTAAAAAAATATCACCATGGGAGGGTGATAGGTAGATTCTTCATAACATCTAATTTCATCTTTATAACTGCTCATTAATATAAACAGTACTCTGCACTGAACAGGTAAATAAATGGAGACTTAGAGAGAGGTTAAGTAACTTGTAAAAGGATGAGGACTAGTTGATAAAACTATACTTTCTATACTTTCAAATTAATGTGCAAATTAATTAGTGCTTCGTTTTATGAATTTTGACATGTATAGATTTGTTATCAGAACAACCAGGACACAATTGCAGAGCAGTTCTATCATCCCCCCAAACTCATCCTTTTCCCCTTTGTACTCACACCTTCTCCCCACCCAGAGCTCCTGGAAGCCATCAATCTGTTCGCCATCACTATAGTGTTCTCCTTTCAGAATGTCATATAAATAGAATCATAGCATGTCACCTTTTGAGACTGCTTTCTTTCATCTGGCATAACTGTTGTGAGTGTTGCTGTTGTGTGTATCAATAGCTCATTTCCTTTTCATCACTAGAGTTGCATTGTATGGATGTATCAGAGTGTTCATCCAAAGATCTATTGCTGGACATTTGGGTTGTTTTCAATTTTTGACAATTATATCTAGAGCTGTTGTAGACATTCATATCCATGTTTTGTGTGACTGCTCTTCTAGTCTAAATAGCCAGCACAGGAAACGGTGGGTCATAGGACCAGTATATAGTACATCAAAAAAAGAGCTTTCAGTGTCATTAGGAACCAACTTACTGAAATAAAGAAAAGTTTAAAAGATCACTAATGAATAGGAACAGGTACAAATATAACAAGAATTTCAAACACTAAAGGGGAAGGAAGGCTACTGATCAAATAGTAAGTGATGCCACTATAGTAGGAAAAGGAAAAATATATTTTCAGGGTTACTAAGAAATGAATGAGCTATGATCCTTTACGAAATGATGATGAAAAATACAAACTCAAAGAAAATAAACTAGGAAACAATACAGAGGAACTTCAGCTCCTCAGATGACTTTTTATGACTGTCAGAGTGTCTTTGTCACAGTATTTCCATAATCGGGGCTGCTGTTTCCTACACTGATGGCAGCTACTGCTGGGTTTGTGTGGTTACTTAAACTGATCAGAACTGATGTACTAATAGAGCTGCCATCAGAGAAGGTGGACTGCATTCAGTTCATGCTGAAATGATTATTGAAGTACAAGAATGGGAGGGGAGAAAGGGAACACTCTAAAATCATAAAACTCTATTTTTCCTAATGGGAAGTTAAGAGATACTGACAGTTTGGAATATAACCTAATAGAAAATAAAGCTCTGGGCACAAAGATTGCCATTACAATATTGTTTAAACTATTGAAAAATTGAAGTCTAATAATTTCCCAATGGTTATGCAATGAAATATTGTGTCTATGAAAAACTAGAATTAAGAATACCCTAGGAAAGCGAAGGAAAGGATAATTATTTAATATTGACTGGAAAAAAAACATGGAGAGTATGTACACTAGAAAAATACACATGCATGTGGACAAATACAAAAGGAAATGGACAAAGCAAAGTGTTTTGTGGGCCAGGAGAAAATGAATATGCCAAAAAATGTGAAAGCAAAAGGTCTATGACAACCAAATGTAAAATGGGATTTCTCTGCCTCAGCCAAATAAAGGTCACAACCTTGGTTTTCTCAGCCTTGGGGTTATTTAGCACTCCAAAGAAGACAATTAGGCAACATCTCAGTGAGTCTTTATAAAAGGCAATATGTAAATGAGATAAAATTAACACAAAATGTAAATTTTAGACATTATCACCAGCAGCAAAATGAATATGCTTCCACTTTTACATTCGAAGGTGTCTGACAAGGCGTCATTCCTCACCCAGTTTTTCCTTCCAGTCAGAGCTGCAATTCCCCAATTCTTTTGGAACATTCACACTTCTGAATCTTTAAACACCCAGTTCTCTTTACCCTGAATGCCCTCCTCATTGCTCCTGTCTGCTCCTTTTCCTTCCCTAAGGTTCCAGTCAAGGATCCTGATCCCAAGTCAACTGTATCACAACAAGCCCGGGGTTGGGGAGGCAGAGAAAGAATCCTGGTCTCCAGAAACTGACCCCAACAACCCAGACTAATGCTCAACATCGTTTAGCATTATCTGAATCAATTGTAATATTCTCTTTCTCTCTTCTACTGGTGCACACTTTAAGACAAAGATCATGTTGGTTTATCCCTAGCACACAGTAGATGCATAATAAATATTTATAAAATAAACAAAAAAGAAGCACAGAATTTTCTTGTTGGTTTTATTTCCTGCTATCCTCTGGGATGTGACTTTATGTTGGAAACAGAGCTTTCAATTAAATGGGGTGGAAACATCCAGTTCCAAAGTTGTACCTAACATTTCTGGTGAGCTGCACGGGTTCACTAGTAATAGATAAATAACTAAATATGTAAAATTGATATAATAATAATTATTAGTTGTACTCTATCAAGTTATATGGCACACTTCTTCATCAATACCTAGCAATGCTTAGCAACACCATCTTATTAACGCTAGTAAGTATAAGCTAAGGATTAATGCCTCATGTTCTAGATGATATTGCTGTAACAGAGCTGTGTTAAGAGCATGCCCAAGGTTCACATAGATTGATATTGAATGAACCTCTAAGAAGTCAGAATCATTCACTTTTTGAGAACACTGGTGTATTTGTTAACTCTGCCAGAGAAGGTTAAAAATCTGTGGTTCATTTTCAATATTTAATAGTTTTAAACAAAAATAGAATGTAATGTCATCATGAGATTTACAAAATATTTTTACAGTGTATTCATTTCTAGTGTCCATTAAAATGGACAGAAGTTCAAAGTCACACAGTTGCCTTTGTAAGTGCAGCCGTTCTTCCTTTGGACATGCTTCCTCCAAGGCACAATTCTACTGCTTCAAGAGGGAAGCCAAAAAATGTGCCCCCCCAGCC